AAGACTACTTTTTGCCAACATGATATTCTTATTTAGTCCTAAAGATGAACTAATGTTTTGGAACTCATATCAAATTAAAGCTCGTGATTAATGTCTTTGAATAATTGTGTATATCATAATATTTTCACCCAAACAAAACCAAATTGGAGTATACTCTCATTTCCGAAAAACTATATAAGTTTTCTATTAAAGCATAAGCTCGGTTGACGATAAAGAAGGGGCATAAGCCCTATATTCTATAGTTTCTACTTTCTAGAACCAAAAACTAAAATTAGAATATGAATTTAAAGTCAAGATCGCCATTAGCTAAATACAATAATTTAAACATGGTAAAGAAAGAGTAACTGCATGTCTTTATATATTTTATTTTTAATGACGTAAATGTAACTATAGTCTATGGGAAATTGCATGTTGATAACTATTAATTTTGATTAAAACAAAATGTATTCAAATAATAATCTTGATCATTTTAAAACAATTCCACATAAAGGTAGTGCGATTCGAAATCAAAAGTAGAGAAAATAAAGAAAGAGATGTAGAATCACATACCTAAACCACTCGCACACACTTAACACTTTCATTAAGTAATTCAAAAAGATGAATATATATATCATATTAAAATGATGCTATAAGGAAAAATATATTATTATATATAGTGGGACTATGGGATACCGGAGATGCATCAAGCTGTGCATGTAAAATCTACAAAATAATATTTTTATTTATAACTAAACCTACGATTTTGTCACAGTTCATAAATTTGTGGTACTTAACTAGATTTTTACTATAAGGTTTCTCTGTTGATGCATCTTTGAATATAATTGGCAGAATAACAAATATCATGAGGTCGAACGTAACTTTTGGATATGGGTTGAGCACCCTTATCTAAAGCTCTTTCCAAATTGAGATTAACTCATTAAACCCACTAAGTGGTAAAGTCCATAAAGTTTGGACCAAAAGTAATTCACAAAAAAAAGGTTTAATTCAAACCATGGTTAATGTCTGATGCTCTACTACAAGCTTCTTTTCCAATTTTAGCTCGTAAATTAGGCCAGGTCGCCACCAGATCCTACTCGTTGACCAGACAGGTCGTCGCTCTTCTTAATTCGTAAAC